TATATACATATATATATATATATGTATATATATATATTAATAAAAGGAGACTAGGCTCCTATATCATTAATAAAAGATACAAAGGGTACAAAAAAGGAAGGCAAGGATGCACTTCCCAAAAGTTATAGTGGCAAAAATCCAAGGAAAGGTAGATCAACAAGATCTCCTTTAAACAACAACTCTAAATGGGGAGTGGTACAAGTATCAATGATGGGGTTCTGAGTATGGAGACCAACCTTAGCAAGCCAATTGGCAGGTTTATTACCCTCCCTAAAAGTATGAGAAAGGGACAGCTTTATCCTCAGTCTCAAGGTTTGTATACCAGTGATCCACTGATTTAGATACCAAGGGGCAGAAATCCTTCCTTCCAGGATGTTAAGTAAGATCATAGAGTCAGTTTCCACCATTAAGAGATTCCACCTGCATTTTATGGCCAAGAAAACATCCCAAAAGACAACTTGGGCTTCCGCTTTTAGAGGGTCTTCAGCTATGGCAGGAGACTGAAAATATAGGAAGCAATCACCTCTAGACTGTTCACCTCTAGTGTTGCTGAAAACCCCTCCAAAGCCAGCATTAGGAGACATAAAGCTACCATCAGTATTGACTTTGACCCAACCCATAGGAGGACAATTCTAGTGAACAAGGATAGTTTGAAATTTTCTTGTACTAAGGAGGGAAGATGTGCATAGGATGTCAGGGAGTTTCCTATGGTAGTGCAATTTCTGTAAATAACTGTAATAGTGTGTGGCAATGACATTTGCATCCCAATGGACCTCATCAAATTTCAGCTTATTTCCTGCCATCCAAACAAACCATGCCATGATACAAGGGATGGGAGGGAGCTGTTGGTCCAGCCAATCTTTCCAGCTTGAATAAAACACCTCCCAAGACAGCTGGATGATATTTAGTTTTAATTTGGGTAGCAAAATGTTCTAAACCTGTTGAGCTTGATAGCATTTAAATAATAAGTGGGGGAGGGATTCCTCCTCACATTTACACAGACAGCATCTTGAAGGGCCTCTCAAACCTTTTAACTTTAAAATATCATCAGTGGTGATGAAGCCATAGAAGAGCTTCCAAGAGAAAAAGTCCATGGAAGGAGAAAGATACTTGTTCCACACACATTTAGTCCAAGATATCTCCTGTTGAGGAAAGCAGAAATTAGTAATGGAAGCTGAAAATGTCTGGGAAACCTTATTCTTCAAAATAAGTTTGTCCTTTCTGTATCTATCAAAGGGCTTTTTCATTATAGTGTTGATTAATCTATTGTCAAGGATATTCTGAAGAGCTTGCTGGTTCCAACCATTAGCAGACCAAAGGTCAGACACGTGTGTTGTGGAGTTGAAATGAGAATCAGTTGGAGGAGAGATTAAGCCTTCTCCACTCCAGTTATCAAGCCACACATTTAGTCTGCTTTCCCCAATCTCCCAAATGAAAAGCTGTTCAGCCTTTATTCTCATCTTCAACATATTATTCCAAGTTCTAGAGTCCCCCAATCTGTTGGTCACAAGAGAAGGATGCTGATCTCTACAGTATTTTCCTTTCAGAAATTTTGCCCAAATTGAAGTCTGTGCTCTAAACATAACCCAAAGTTTGCAAAAATTAGTTTTTGGATAATATGTTTGAAGCTTTTAAACCCCAGGCCACCATCTCTGGTACTGCCACAGATGCTTTGCCATCTCGCCCAATGCACTTGCTTTCTCTGGCATGCCCATAGAAATCTTGCTTGATACCTCTGGTAGTAGTGAAGAAACCATGAGACTTCCCATTAATGAAGATGGATTGATGATTATTTGACAGCCACCTTAGGATCAGAGAAATAAAGGATTGAGAGAAACCTCTAGCAGACAGTACCTCCACAATGAAATCCCAATTAATGGTATCATAAGCCTTTTGGATATCAAGTTTGAAAATGAGATTTCCTCCTCTGCATTGTTTGTCCAGGTCCAAGACTAGTTCTTGTGCCAAGAGAACATTTTCCACTATGCTTCTACCTTACACAAAAGCTGATTGGTTTTCACTGATAAGATGAGGTAAGTGAGGTTGCAATCTGTTTGAAATGATTTTGCTAATAATTTTGTACATAAAATTTGTGAGATTGATTGGCCTGAACTGATCCCAAGAGAGCTTGGAATTGTTTTTGGGGATTAAAATAATGGTAGAATAGTTAAAATATTTAGGCAAATTCATCCCATTGAAGAAGCTTTGTACTGCCTCAATAACATCCCCCTTGATGATCTTCCAAGCTTTTTTGTAGAAATCAATTGAGAATCCATCAGGACCAGCAACTTTGGAGTTGTCAATTGAGTTCAGGGCTGACCAAATTTCCAATTCCCCAGGGATAGAATCCAATTTCAGATTTCTAGTATATCCCTGATAAAAAAGATCCTGCTGGACTGGTAATCTGGTGATAGGAGGTTAAGTGAACAAAGTTTGAAAATGTTTGATGGCACTTGCTACAATTAAGTCTTCAGAGAATATCCAATGTCCTGATGGATCTTTAATCTTGTGAATGGTATTATATCTCCTCCTATAGTTGATACAAGCATGAAAGTACTTAGTATTTCTATCCCCTTCACAGAATCTGATTTTTGGAGCCTTTTGGGCATAGAATTCCTCCTGCATACTAATAGCATTCATCAATTTTTCATTAGCCAGCAGTAAATTTAATTCAGTTTCTGGATTGGTCTGAAGCCTATCTTCCATATCAAGTACTTCCTTATTAGCCTCTTTAACTCTCAAGTTAACATCTCCAACCACATTCCAGGTCCAATTAGATAAATGCTTGCCAATCTTCTTTTGCAACAACCACAATTTGATCAGTGGATTAGGGTGATAGCATTCTCTCCACCCCAAGAAAATTTGATTAAGAAAATCAGTATGGGAGGACCACATGTTGAGGTATCTAAAGCTGGCTTTGTGCTTAACAGGAGATGCAGAAATGGTGATGAGTAAAGGCCTATGATCAGATCCAGTCATGCTAAGATGTTGGACAGAGGTGTGTAAGAATTCATTCAGCCACAGAGAGTTAACTAGGATTCTATCCAATCTTTCCCGTAAAGGTCCTCTCCTCCAAGTAAACTTGGGTCCAGTGAAACCAAGATCAAATAAGCCAGCCAAGCTGATGTTGTCATTAAAGAGATTTAGACATGTGAAGAGATTTAGACATGTTGACAGAAAGCTAAATTGAATATGAAAGAATTGTGGATGATCCCAAAAAACTTGACACATAACTTCCTTTCTATGAAGTAACCAAATCTTATTGTTCAGATTAGCAAAATAAGAAAAAATAAAAAACTTTCTGAGGAATTTATGAGGGTATTTAGACACCATTGTTTCCAAAACAGCAATAAACCAGAATTTATACATCCTATTCAAAGCACTGAGTCTGTTAAGGGATTTAGGATGTGCCAATCCCCTAACATTCCAACACAATAGGTTCATCATTTAAAGGAGATGGATTTACCCCTCCTTCTGGAGTTGGTCATGGCCTCCTTGGTTTCCAAATGGATATTTCTGTCCCTGAGTAAATAAGTTCCTCCCTTCACATTATTTAACTCCTGGATGGTCTTTTTCTTTTTTTCTTGTTTTTTGAGTTTGCCAATCATCAGCCAATGCACTCTGAAGTACCTCCACTAAAGTGGAGTCCACTGGAAAATCCTTTTGAACCACCTCACCAACTTCCAACTGAGAGTTCAAGGGCTATGGGTCAGAGGTTGCAGAGGCATTTTCTTCACTGGTTATGATCTGTATTGCAGATGGTTCAAGGTGACATATTGAAGGGCCATCCTTGTGATTTTCTTGTTCTATAGGATATCCGTGACCAATAACATAATCAATCGTTTGCTTCTGATATAGGTCTCCCATAAATAGAAAAAAGTGGAAAAAATGTTTCAAATCCAGTTTGTCAAAAGAGAGATGAACAAGAAAAAAAATATTCCATCATTCACCTAGTTTTACTAAATTTCAAGCAACTTGCATTAGTTCATGTAACAACCTTGGTATTCTTAACTTGTTATGAGTAAATTATGCTACCCAGCAGTTTGCAATAGACCTTCTCCCTTCTATCATGTTGTCCTTCGTCCTTCGCATTTTAATCAATATTATCATCTGACTCTTCTTTGTGACTGCTTCATGTCATGCCCACCTCATCAATTGGTTACAAAATTTGCTTTTCACAATAAAATAGTAGCCAGAATTTGTAGCCGACATTTTAATCTTCTGAATTTTTTTATATAATAAATATGATGCCATTTTGTGATTATAAAAAATTAATGAGACCTGTAAAAAGTCAAGTTTTTTCCTAACAAATTCCTAGCAACATGTGCAACTCATTCATATTAGCCAAAACCAAATTAAGAGACTATTCACAAAAACAAAGTCTTACTTGATTGGTGGCTAAGCTACCACTCTCATGAAGTCTGCCATATGATCTTAGACCATAAAAGGATATGTAATCCTGGGCTTTAGGCCCCATTATGTCATAAAGATTCTGTAATATAGAACTTGGTCCTCTACAAATTGTTCGATATTGCCAATGCATTAAAGCCCTTACTGATGCAGCGCCACTGTCATCAATGCCGCCCTGATAAAATATATCTTCAGATAGATGATTTTCTTACAGATGGAGAGAGAAATATATGTTATTAAATGATACCTGGAAACCTGGTAAAAGGGGTATGATAATAATAACCCTAAAACATTTGTTTTCCTTGTGTGCTCGCATGATACGCCTATACAATGCATCCAAAATCCGATTGCGTATTATATCGTCTCCCGAAAGCCCTGAAATAAAAAACTGATTCTGGAAATTCAAGGGCACTTGGGTTAGTGATCAAAATTAAATCATTTCCTAGTAAATATATATTGTATATTATGAAAAATTAACAAAAGGCATTAAATCATCTACAACTGAATTCCGAATGATGAGGAACTCAAGCTTAGGCTAGAAAGAGTAACTTATTCTGAAAACCCCTACCAAAATACATAGTGGCACCGTACTCAAGATTATGCAGCATACAAGCTGTACTGAAACTATTAAAAGAAGTCCAGTGCTCTACTCTTGGCATTCTAAAATATATATATATACACACACACACATACATATATATATGTATATATATATATAATTTTGCAGGAATTAAAGCATGCATATAAAGAAAGTAGAAAACGCAAGTTTGAGTTGTGTTTACCAGATCCTATGTCATATTTTAGTGTATTTAAATGTTAAGGATGATTCCATTAAGCAAATTATAATAAGCTCACATGTCATTCAAGATTTCCAAAGGATCATGAAGAAGTCTTGGGTAATACCTTAGACATTTCATAGTCCATGGAATTATCTTGAGTTTATTTTTGGTTTTATCATATTTGCTATATAGTTCATCCAATTAATACCCTTATGCTCAGTGAATTATGATGTTTTATTTATCTATTAGGTGGGGTAACTATCACTTAATAATTTCTCATTTGTGAATTATATAGGCAAAATCCCTTATGGGCAACTTGACTTAATTAAAAGATTTAACTAATTTGATATTTAAAGAATGGGCTTCTGGTATTTTAAAAGATTTTAAATTAATTATAAATTATTTTTCTAAACCTCATTAGACAAAATTTT